ATAGAAAGTACTGAAGTCTCGCGGGCAGCTGGCAACATTGCATTACAGTCATATGTCATATGGCTGTTGGAAGTCTTGCACCACCATTGGACCAGTTCCCAAATGTGACTGGCAGCCATGATGCTCTGCAGCGCCCAGAACGTCTAAAGACCCTGAAACAAATGCTTTCAAGTTTACTGTCAGAGGATAAGTGGGTAGGGTCGTTCTGTGCTGGCCTGATAACAGGGCCTCTTGTTGTGTGCACTGGAGCTCACCATTATTCTAAATTTATATGAAGGACAGTTTTACCGCAGGTAATCAGAGCTGGTCCTCAAGATGAAAAACAGGTGGTGAGTTCATGAAAGACGTATTTTTACTCATGGAGGATCTTTGGAATAGCTGGATTTTTTTTTTCCTCTGAGTGGCCTGATACTCTGACTGACCTTCTTGTTTTCTGCTGGGAGTCTGTTTAATGTTGCACCAACAGAGTGACGTTTGATTGGTCGGACATTTGCAAGATAGCTTTCTTACAGTAGCAAAAAAAAAAAGGTAAGTGAACCGCGTGGAATTATCGTAAGATCAGTTAAGATCTGCGTACATTTTTGGAAAAGTGGCAAATTTAGGCTTTTACAGATGGAGTTTTTCTTCATGCCTCACAAAAAGATCTCAGAGGACTTGAAGATCCGGAGCTGTTGATTTGCACAACACAAGAAAAGGGTCCCAAAGAGTTTAAATATTCATCAGCCTACACTTTATATATAAATGTTAAGACAACTGATACTTCAGAACAAACTTGATGCCAAAAGTCTAACATTTCTGAAAGAACCAATTTTCCTCTAGTACCAAAAACTAAGCACTGGAAAAGTAATTCTTCCAAGACTGAAGAGGGCAGCATAATAACTCTACAAGCACATGAGTCTGACTTCAAACAGAAGAAGAAGAAAGCAGGTACAGTAAAAAGTAAAAGCAATACGTGGAATGATGGCAGGAATATGTTTTTGAGACAATGATTTGTGGATTAATTATTATTTACATACTGACAACACATGCAGCAGTGCATATCAAAGAGTGATAATGTATTTCAATAAGAAAACACTATCAAACATTTTACGAGTGGCCCAGTTACCCAACAGAGGAGCTGTGGGACTGACCTCAGGAACTCCTCCTCAGTGTTGCGCAGGTTTGATCCACAGCGACCAGCTCTCATCTGGTGCTGCACGTGCTTCAGTCGGACATGGTGACTACTGACAGCCGACAAATCCCCCGTTAGGCCTCCACACCTGCCTGTCATCACATAGAAATCTAATTCATTAAGCGCCGATGAATCACACTGCAGCTTTATCAATCACTGCCAGACCCCTGAACACGGCCGAGAACTGGATCCCTGCCTTCACCCAGCGACACGAGTTCCCCCAGAGTTAGCTGAAGAATGTGGCGTGTGTCTAACACATATATCAGTGCCTCAGTAAAGGTGAACACCTCATGTCATCATGGACTGCAGACCAGTCATGTGTAAATCAATGATATACATATACAGACACACACACACACACACACACACGATATATGATTCAGCACCATGATCTTTGATCTGCAGCTGTTGTGTCTCGTTTCGAGAGGGAAGTGTTTTATATGTTGCTTCCATCTCAACGTCGTTTCAGCTCCTGGGCACTCGATGGTTTTGCTATTTAAGTCGAATGTGACTACGATAATAACTATTCATCACTTGGAGCTCAGCTGAATAAACATCAGCGTGTATATAAATATATAAATAAATAAAAACACATAAAATGGAACAGTCAGCTACAAGCTGCACTAGGGCGTGTCTGACTGGATTAAATAACAAAATCAAGAGTTCTCTGCAAAGCACATCTTCACAGAGCTGTGCACAACTTTATCATTCTGATGAATTAGATCACAAAATTAAACAGCAACCTTTTTTGACCATCTCCCGATGACTTTAAGAGCCAAACATTTGACTGTGGATCTCTGATATGAGAGGATTTTCTCTTCAGCTGTTTAGTGTCAACGCAAACAAACTTTGAACAGTTTGTGAGATGAGACCCGGAAGCTCTGACACAGCTATTTACTGATTCACACGAACCCTTCATGTATTAATATGTCATCGAACACAGTAGTTGGCTGCAGCACTACACGAGTGTAAAGTAAAAGTACTTCACTTACCTTTGACAACAAACCTGGGGGGGAGGGGGGGAGGGGCGGTAGCAGGTGCGCTGATTGTTCGGGGGTTAGCTTAGCCAGCTAGCTTCTTTGACAGTCCCCGTGTCTCAAACCGTCTTCTTCACTGTGGCCGGGGTTTTTTATTTTCACTGTTCTCATCGTTGCTGTCACAGTTTTCATTCACGTTTGTTTTCAGGGTTCTTGTTTGTTTCGTGTTCGCCGCCATGAGAGTTCAACCGGAAGAGGCGCTGAGGTCATCCTCACCGTTTTTTTTTTTTTTGTTTTTTTTTGCAACAGTGTCGCCGTGTGGCTGGGAGAGGTAGCGCAACTAATTACATTTTTAAAAAACATTCTTATCAATATAAATAATTCACAATTGCTGTTTATTGAGCTCAGTTTAACTTAATTTTTCCTTAAACGAATTTCCTTATTCGACAGGTACAATTTATAACAATCAGTTACAACCATAGACTGTATATAAAGATCAACAGATTACATTCTTTCCAAAATGTCAACTTTTCATGCAATAAACAGTGGCAATACATTTTTCAAATGATCCAGTGGATTTGAATAGAAGAGGGGAAACCTGTCATGGTGTATAACTAGTTACATCTCATAAAAAAGAGTATATACAAATATCAAATGTATTAAAAAAAGGATACAGCTGAATGGCAGATGTTGAAACAGTCCTACGAGCTTGATTGATCCAGATGTTGTGATTTATTTCTGTCTGCTTCCCAGAATTCACAGCGTTGGCTCGTCTCTAAAGGGTTAGGTTGAGATGACAGAACTAAACTAAAACAAAGCGGAGATATTTGTTTTTCCTGGACAAGTTCCTTGTCTGAAAATAGCTCAGTGGTTCAAACAATGGAACAAATTATGAAGATGAAAGGCAGCCAGTTTTATTAAAAAGTCACTGAACTGTGTTGATATTATAGCCAATCTTCTTTTTAAAGTACTGCACAGTACAGGATAGCTCAATTACATGTTTCTTCTATAGATGAACTTTAAGAAAACCTTATTTTATTCTGTTCAACAGGCTACTGAATGCTGTGCCATTCATTTGTCTTGACAGCACTCACTTGATTCCAGGTGTGGATACATGTTCTCAGTCACTGGGTGACATCTGGAGTGAAAACTGGAGGTGAAGCGAGACAAGATGGATGACATGGACATTCACTCAGTCTGGAGATTGGAGAAAAAAATCGTAGAGTAGCAGCTGGAACACTGGAAGAGGAGGAGCAGGAGGAGGAAGAGGAGGAAGAGGAGGAAGAGGAAGATGAGGAGAAAAAGGAGGAGGAAGAGGAGGAGGAAGAGGATGTCTGTGAGTGCAGGACTCACGTATCGTTCCACACAGACAGCATCATGAAATGAAATCACTCAGAGTCGGGGAGGTAACCAGATCAACACAGACACACAACAACAACATCATCATCATCATGGTGTATGTAATTTAATTTGTTGTAAATTACACTCACATTGCACCACAACGTATCACAGCATCAATACATCCTGAGCAGACATCGATATTTCAACAATTACGTTTGACAGAGACCTCCACACGGGGAGGAAATCTGCTGATTGAATTTACGGTGACTTTAAAAGCACCAGCGAGGAAGAGCACGATGTGAAAATGACAACAGCATTGTTGTAGATGTTGAAACGCATCCTTACGTTGTCCATGTATTGTCCTTGTCCTCTGATATTAATAGATTGCAGCAGAGGAAAGGGAAAAGACATGGTAAGAATTTTATTTTCAATTGTCTGAACAAAGCCACAATTTATAAAAGCTCAGAGAAAGATTGTAACTCCTGCGTCCAAAGTGCTCGGAACAAGAAGAGGCTCAGAAAACGTGCAGATAAAAATAACTGGTACAAGAAAAAAAACACTAACAAAGCACAAAAACTGCTTTTTAACTTTAGCGAGTAGAAATTTGTTGATAAATTATAAATCAGCCTGCGAGATTCTTCCATAGAAAACATTTACCTTCGATTAAAGTACAAATTCGGATATACAAACACACTCGAAGGCCTTTCAAAAGATTTAGGATTGGAGTTTAAATGAGCGCTCATTAAAACTTAACCACGCTAATCAAATTTTAATGCTCGTCAAAAAGCAGCAGACGTTCTATCCTGGAAATGAAACGTACACATCCTGTCGTAGCTGCAGTATATTCTCATTCAGGCTGCAGGCTCAGATGATTTATTTTTTTTTACTAACGATGCAGAAACATACCCTCACACACAGATATAAAAATATTAAGAGTCAGAACAACAGCACCGACGAGTCAAATGCACTTCACCACCTCGCGTGGGTCGGCACGACTCGGGAAGAAATGCACAACAGCGGAGCAGAAAACCACTCATCACATGCAATAACGTTCAGCGCTAGTGCGATATGGATTAACATTTATTCACATTTGAATTTATCTTTGCCCTGTTGATAGTTATCTCTTCATTCGCTATGGATGATGCAGACATCTTAAGACGTGGTTTACAGGATCGCTGGTGTTGGTGAAAGTAAACATGTTGCGTTTTTTTAAGCACCTTTTCTTCACTGTAGACGAGATTTGTCTGTTTTAGGCACCGAAACTTTAACTTTGTGTGTTCGCCTGTGTTCATGTGTTACATCAGAAAGGCTGGAGCAGGAATCGTCAAACCTTTCATGGTGCATCTACACAACATTGACTCTCCACAACCTCCCATCGTACAATGATGAAGTGGTAAACTCCCTGTGTTTGTGTGCAGTAAATAGAGCAAACAGTGACGTTTTTCCACATGTTCTGTTTGGTTGGTTTGTGTCTCTTCTTTGTGTGTCTCTTGTCGTCAGTGTTGTCGTCATCACACAACCCTCTGGAGGATGTAGAGGATGCCAATGCCGTCGATGGTGACGAAGGTGGAGAAGTCGGACGACACGTGGATCCTCTTCAAAGCGCTTCCAGCTGGATAGAAGGTCTGCAGGGCCTCGCCTCGCTCCACATCCCACCACTGGAAACAAGAAGGAGAGAGTTTTAAAGCTCTTCACTGACATTAAACTGCTGCAGAGCGTCTGGCAGACTGAGGTCAACACTGTGTATAAGTTTGTCGCAGGCAAACAGTGAAAAGAAGAGACACTGAAACATTCTCCAAAAATGATGGTGACATTAAAAAGTTTTTTAAAAAAACCTGTGACAACTTCTAATGACGTCACAATGTGCGATCCAGACGACCCGATGTAACGAGCGAGTGAGCGGGAATTTCATGCTGACTTCAGTGTTTCCTCTGTGACGGGTGAAAAACGGCAGGAGTCAAGTAGTGTTTGATCTCAGTCAGACCCTGAGACAAATTGGTTGCTAAGAAAAACATGATGGATTTAATAATAATATTATCAGACTCAAACTCTCACACAGCCACAGGCTCACTCACACACACACACACACACACACACACACACACACACACACACACACACACACACACACACACACACACACACACACACACACAC